GGAAGTAGCTTTCCTAAAGTAGCTCCAGCAGTATCTGGGGCTTTGGGGATCACAGCTAATCTTGGGAATAGGATCTATTCCTGTTTGAAAATTAATTGGACCAGAAAGAGAAGCAAATGAATTTGCATTTCAGTAATATGCAGTATGTGATGACCATCTTTGGAAAAGACCTATCTTCATCAGAGATGTCTTCTGTTCCTGGTGCCATAACATGTATTGCATATGCAGCTTCCAACCATATTAACCTTTTAACTTGGTGATTCAGTATTGTCAGCCTGCTAGCCAGAGCAAAATACAGTCATAATATGTAAATATTGCATCCTCTTCATTGTAGAAAATTAATAATAAGTAACTGTGCAAAAATTTCAAAATGAGAATTATTGTTGGGGGCACTTCTGTTTGGAGCAAGTAGCCACTTTGCTTTCTATCTCCTGGCAAGACCATCAGGAATGTGCTTAGAGGGTTGGGGAAATGTTTTCCGAGCATGAAAAGGCAGCTAAAAGATGAAAATTATTGAAATTTAATTATATCATGTAACTGACTACTGAAATATTTTCTGGTCAAAGCAAGCAAGAAAGGGAAAAACAAACAAACAAAAAACCAAACCAAAAAAACAAACAAGATAAGGAAATGAGCCAAAAATGTGCATTCCAGGAGAAAAATAACTCAGGACAATGCTCCTTTATCTCTTTAGTTTATTTCAAACATGCTGAAGAGATTTAAATATCAGATTTTACTTTTCATTTAAATGTAAATAAATGAACATAAATGATTGACTGCTGAAATGAAATTGGATAAGGTACAGCCTAGCTGGTATAGCGGAGAACAAATAAAAAAACCTGAAAGGCAACTGAAATTTTAAAATCAAAAATATTACTCATGATTTCAGCTACTTGGGTGGAGGAAGGTTGTGTATAGGCTCCAATTATGTCACTGTTGCAGTGAGTAGGAAGAATCCTGAACTACAAAATTGCTCATTTTACACACTTCGGCCTCCAGAAGATATCTGACTCTGAAGAAGTACCAATCTCACTCTAAACAGATACAGCACCAGGTGCACATCTGGTATTATTTTTGTTTTGCTGATATATTTTGTGATGAAAAAATGCCTGTGGAGCATGGAATGAGGGAAGAAGGCTTAAAAAAATCTGAGATTTTTTTTCTAAGGTATTTAGCTGTAGTATCAACCTGAATATGTAGTTTTTTTGCAGTAGGTATCTCCAACTCTGATTTTATATTAAATAAATGAAGTGACTTCTCCTTTTCATGCCTGGGTTTTTTTCCAAACATTATGATTGTGTGCTTTTTTTTTGGGGGGGGGGGGGAAAGCAGTATGCTAGATCATCACAATTCCACCTGACCAGAGAACGGAAGAGCAAGGAGAGAAGGGATCAGGAAAATAAAATCTTTGTAGGTTTGCCCTGTCTCTGTCTTGGCTCCAATATATTGAGGTGAAATTGGTATTACTGGTCCTTAAGCAGTTGTTAGTAGTATCTACATTTAAGCAATGACCTACAAAAAGCAGTTTGCAGACTTCTCAACCCAGGTGATTTGAGGAAGATTCCCCAGAATCTAGTCACATAAAGGGGAGAAAAGAAGCCATTCTTGCATATAATGTCCTTGCATTTGGGAAGGGCTTCACCTTCCAGGCAGTTGTATTGGTGTTTTGTGTTCATAGATTTGATAATTAAAAAAAGAAAAGATGAACAAACTCCATGAAGGACCAGGACCTTGTTGACACAGATTTCCAGGCTTCAACAAATTACACTTGGGCACAGCCATTTGATTTTTTTTGTAAATGAACTATCTGCATTTCAAAGTTGAATTAGTTGATGAGGAAGGGTTACTATAAAAATTTGTAAGAACTTAGCTTACTTTTATGTATTGACATAGTCCTAAACATTTTTTTAAATAATGTTGTTTTGAAAAGCATGGATTGTGCAGCTCAGATGATATGAGTTAGCCTAGGGCTTTTTTAGTTGGCTTTTATGGAATAAATAGTATTCCACAATACATGGGACAGAATGTATTACCAAAAATGAATCATTCGTCTGTCTGTAGCATAACTGAGAATAAACAGCAGATAACTAGAAAATAAATACCTTTTAGATGACAGCTGTAATATTCATGTCTGCTGTCTTTACTTGGGAAACATATTTCTAAAGATTAAGAATTTTGTCTGAATGGAAATGGAACATTCTGTTTCTGAGTATTATACCAGGTTAGTTTCAGGGGGGTTTGCCTTATAAAATGTTTGCAGTAACTAATTTTTTTTCCCTGTCAGCTGTAGCCAATTATTTTGGACAAATAAGCATTCTCCACAGCATGTCTAATTTTTATGCCAACTGACCCTGTGAATGCCTTTATTCATTCTGTGTAAACTCCATCGTTGTCAGTCTGTTATATTAAAAATTGTTCCTGCACAATGAATAGATGACCATACTACTGATTACTTGTGTAGGGATTCTGAACTCTTCTGATGGAGAATATTGCACCACATCCACTTACTACTGTTTAGCTGTGTTATGCTATACGTGAAAACCCTGATCTAAGTGCCAGCTACTAACAAGAAGCTACAGAAGCTTCAAATGCATGAATGAAGGCAATTGCTAATTAAATGTGGCAAGTCAAACCTTGATCCAAGGTAGAAGAAAAGGTTTCCTATGTGTTTGTCTGATATTTGTCATGCTTTATGCTGGGATAAATTACCGGTTTGATCAAAACACATCTTAGTAAAGTTGTCCATGTGAAATAAGAAAGGAAGGAGGGGATATCAATTGCTGTTTCAAACACTATTCATTCTGAATCAAAGAAAATGTTAATTAGTGTCAGGAAACTGAATTAAGTAAATGTTGACTGCCTTTGTAGCAAAGATCAAATCAAAGTTACCATGTAAGTGAAGCAGGAACTTCTGTAAGATTGGAATGGTTTTAATGTATGTCTGTACATGGAAATGAATAGAAAACAAAGCAAGAAATACAACGTTTGGGAAAGAATCTCGACATGATTTGGAAAGATAATTACAGGCAGAAAGGAAACTGAATATAGGAACAGGAAAAGCAGAATAATTATGTAGCAATTAACAGGAAAGCTGTATAGTTCTTTGAAAAAAATAAAACAGTCATTGGGTTAAAAATATATGCTGAATACAGAAATGTTTTAATACTCAATACATCAAGTATTTGAATTCATTTCCTGAGATAAAATTCTGTTTCATAAAATAAATGTCTCATTTATGAGATAAAATATCTTCTGCATTTTATGTATTTATTATAATTTATTTGTATTTTTGTCTAAAATGTGTGGTCTGAATTGGATGACAAAAACATAATAAATGTTCTTTTTGAGTGCTGGTGCATAATGCCATAATGATGAGAAAATACAGATTTTAAGTTAATATTTCAAAGACTGAAAATATTACAGGATCCAATAGAAAAATAGCTACTCCTAGATTTGCAAGAGAATTTGTTTCTCATGTGTCCTGAAATCTTCATATTCTGATAAAACTGTTGTTAACTTATTACTTGACTGGAGGCAAACTCAGATTTCAGTTATGTTGTAGGTCTTCTGATATTATTTTACAACTGCACACTAGAAAGTGCTCTTTCTGAAACATAACTTATGAAGATTCCTCTTGAAATCTGTGAGACTATCTCACAGTTCATTTACAGGGAATCTGTCATGCAGTGGCATTTTCAAGTGCATTAAAATGACATCTGGGGGTCACTGCACTCATGCACGGGACCCTCTTGTTGAAGAGGGAAAGAGGCTACCACTGAGTAGCCACATCACTAAAGAAAATTTTTAAGAGGTGAAATCTTTTGTTTAAAACTAGTGGAAAAAATTCTGCCAGATAATGAGTAAAAAGCCACAATACTTTTTGTTGTGATTCTAGACAGGGGAACCTTCTCTGAATTGTGTCATTTGTATGAACATATTATTGGGAAACATATCTGTCCTTCTGTCCTTTCTGTCTTTTTCAAACATTAACTTGCATCTGAGGTGTACAATCTTCATTGCTTTAAACAAGTTACTCTGGATAAAAAATAGAATAATATGTGCTTCCTGCTTGAGGAATTGGTTGAGCAAGTCAATACGGGGCTTGCAAGCTGTCTTAAGTTATGTCATAAGCTCCTCTGCTGCCTCTGTGATGCACATCCCCAGTGAGGGAAAAAAAAAAACTAAAAACAAAAACAAGAGATGGAAGAAGGTGAAGGGCTGGTGGGCCAAGATACCCTGAGACTGAAGGCAGAGAGCCTACCCTGTAGGTTCAGGTGGTGACCCCTGACAGGACACTGCCTTTCTGTTCTGTGAATGGGCTCAAGGACGACAAAGGGGGCAACAAATAGTGCTACTGATAAAGAGTAATAGTCCTGCCATTAGTAACAGTTAATGCTTCCATGGTGCCCTTCATTCATTAACCTCTAATCTCTTTGCATACATTGATTCAAACTATATAGAATCTCTGAAACAGATCAATATGATTTCTATTCATATGTCTATACTGGCATATATATATATAATTAAATGAAACAAAGATTGTTTCATTAAAAAGCATTAAAAACTGCTTGGATTAAATGTTCTTAAAAGAAAAAAAAAGCAAAACATATGAATGCTTTTGTGGTATGCAAATACTTCCACTGGATGAGTAGGCTCAGATTTTTTCTTTGCTGTGCTGTGAAATGCCCAGATACAGAAACTGTACAAAACCAATCTGAGAAGCTGAATGTTTGACTGAAAGACTTTTGTGTTTATAAATCATACGAAGATTATCCATAATGGTGTTAGTCACTCTCAGCATTCTGATCACATCAGTTGTAAACTTTGTTAATTGCATACTGTGTGCTATCATGGCTAGCAGCAAAGGTAGGGATACATATATTCTTTTATTCCCTTCTCTGTAAGAGAAAGTATTAAGAGACATAATATTGATTAAGGAAAATTTCTGTTCAAAAAATGCAATGATTGTGTTACTAGTGTATCTTATCCTTTTCTTTTAGGTTATTCAATACTTCAAGCTATTATGGAAAAAGCAGGACAAAATAGCTGGCAAGTCAGTGCTATCTGTGTGGAGAATTTTAATGATGCCAGCTACAGGCGGCTTTTAGAAGATCTGGACCGAAGGCAAGAAAAGAAATTTGTAATAGACTGTGAGATAGAGAGGCTTCAGAATCTCTTAGAACAGGTAATACCTGGTTTTAATGTCACTATAAGCACATTACTGAAACTCCATATGAGACACCGTTGTGCATAACATTTCATTTATTTTCTCAATGGAAATTAAATTGATCATTCTTTCTTTTTTGTTTTTCTTCATGGACCTATATTTGTATGTCTACTTGCCTGCTCCATTTTCTTTTCATATTTAATACTTGTCTTAGGAACCAGCATGTCAGTGCAGTGAGCCCTTCCTTTTCCCACTCTGGATGTCTGTGGGCAAAGGGTGCCACAAATCAGGGTAGCTGCATATTTGGCCCCGCTTCCCAGCACCTCCATGACTGATACATTTTGCATCAGAGTCATGGGGCTGGTGGAACAACATAGTGTTGCTGAATTGCCAAGATGCTATCAGTCTGTACCTTCATGGGGGTAAAGCTCAATTTTGTTAGAGGGAGAAAAAAGCTTGGTTAAATTCTATACTCCTTCTGTTTGCAAAATAACATCGGTTGCATATTTCTAGCCATAACATGCTTTAAAATTATTGTTACAAATACTTAAACTGATAGTTTTATTACCTTAGCAGAGTATGTAGGAACATGAAGAACGGTAGAATAAAAGCGCTATTGAACTGGGAAGGGAGGTCAGGTTCTTCCATCATGGAAAGCTGCTATTAGATAAAGAAAATACTGGGCCAGACAGACTGGCTTGCACTGGATTGTATCTATACCAGTGTGCAAAGTGAATATCAAACCCTGCCACTCAGATGCAGCAAATCTACCTCTATATAGTGTTTATGTATAAGCTCTTCCTTGAATGATGGCAAAATAAAGTAGTGCTTTGAAAGGAAAATTTTGTCAAATGACAGGAAAACAACTTATGGTTAACTATCTGCTTCTCAATTGATCCCAGGTATTACATTGCTGTGGTGCAAGTTCACCATTCAGTACATACTGCTGCTGCAGGAATTGAAGGGAATGAATGCCATCTACTGGTGCTGGACCTTCCACCACCACGCTGCTATCTTGGCTAGTGCATTAGAGAATTTTGAAGATTTTTTAGCAAAAACATTCATGATGCATCTGCCTCTGAAGTTACTGAAAAGTAAAATGTCATTTTAAATACAGAAATTCATAAAATAGTACTCATTGACATATATACATCAATTTTTCTTTCACTGGCAAAAAGTAAAGAGGGAAAATGAGAATTAATAGCGTGGCTGATATGACAATAATTTTTTCTATGACTGTTGCGAAGAGAAGAACAGACAATGCCATACTGCTACAGACATTCATTTGGCCATTATATTGTTTTATATTCTGATCGGCATTATGTTTTGACACATACTTTCTATAGCTTATAATTAAATCCTCCCTGAGTTCATCCTATATTATAGTAAAACAGAACACCCATGTGAAGGTCTTCTAAAATACATGCAGAAAAACGGTTTCTCTCTCAGCTCTGTGTGTGTGTACATGATGTACTTGATTTCTTTCACATGGCATGCAAATGTGACATAAAAAAAGTATGTTCTATTGCCATAAGTCTTGAAGTACACCCACCATCCTGTGTAGGTGTATCTACTAATTATCCTCTCCGTTTCAAAGGAAAATGAAATCATTGAGTACATGTTTGGATCTTACTGATCTCACATGTACATTTTATTTGCACTCAGAAGCTGCTACTCATTTTCCTTCTAGATTGGCACCTGCATAGTCAGTTCATATAGGTCTAGAGTTTGCATGCCTAAGATAGGGAGTTTATGCAGGCATACTAAGTCATAAAAATCAAGTGAATGGCCACAACAGACTGAATCAGAATTTGTCTCACGCCTCTACAGGGCAAGCCTGAAAGCTAGTTGAGTCCTCTTTTAATTAACTGCACAGAGAGGGTTGGGGGTAGGAGTTAACACCTAATATGCAACATGCTTATATCACTTTTAGGGAGTGATTTATCTGGCTACTGTCTAATTTGGGGTGGGATAAATTTTACCTAGGAAATAACCTTTTTTGTACTTGCATTTATTTGTGCCTAAGTGTAAAACCTTTGCCCTTAAATCTGTGCTAATGAAGTGAAAGAAACTGGCTTGTGGACTTGTGGACTTTTTCTTTTCTCAGTAGTGACTGCCCATATATATACTCTATGTATTATAAATATTATATATATGTATATATTTTAATTTTTTTAACATGACCTAATTAAATTGGAATTCATGTATCATGTGAATTCCCTTCTTCCCCACTGTGCCTGGAGATTCCCTCCATCCTTCCAAAGGACAGTCACTGTACAAGCAGGAATCGCATTATAGCCAAGCTAGACAAACTATGCAGAAGAGCTGCAGCTTTACTGTCCGTTGTGAAGGTCCTGTTCTTCCTAGAAAGGCTGTCCTACAAGTGGACCTGGAGTGCTGGTTTGGGGCTCCAATATGACCTTCAAAGACCAAGTGCTGGTTTAAGGATGGGCAGTCAGAAGCAGTTTCAGACACAAAAGCATTTAGTTTGCCAAAAACAGAAATAAAGCAAAAATGAACTAACCTGATGTAGAAAATGCAAAATATCAGATATCAGCCATTGATTTTTTCCCTTTGCATGAAGGCTTTAGTAACCTGTAGCAGACAGGGAAGGTGGCTTCACAGATGGACTAAAAGTTGGAATGTTCTTCCCTACATACACAGAGGAATTGATTAAGTTCAGTGAGTCTAATTAACTCAACTTCTTTCCTGCCTAGTTTTCCTGTAATTCAGAGCCTAAGCTGTGACTGTACTGTAATACTTTGCAATGTACAAGTAAATGTTCTGCAGAACATTTAGGAAAAGTAATTAAATCTCAGTAATGAGACTGTAACTCAAAGTGCTTTGCCCTTAAATCTATGCTAATGAAGGGAGGGAAACTGGCTTCTGGGCTTGTGAGTTTCTTCTCAAGTTACTGCCCATGTATATACACACTCGCACTTCTCATGACTGTGTACCTCAAGCGATGAAGACTGGAGACTTTTTCACTTGTTGGATCAAGAAGTTCATGTACTCCTTCCCTGACCGTACCAGGGGCCCAATTATTTGACCTGATGTCTTCTCCTCTCTGTCCACTTCAGCTGCCCAGCTGAGAAAATCAGCACCTTGCTGTTTCCTGACTTCTTGTGCAACTTTAATGTCACCACTTCCTGTTTCTTTTTGTCTCCTATATTTTTCTTAGTTCATTATCTTTTCTCATTTATTTTCTCCTCTCTGTGTGCCCTGGTGTGTATAGAAACTACCTCCACACTCTGTACCTGAGATCTGTCTTCAGAGAAAACTTCTCTCCTGGAACCCAATGATGTATCTGCATTCCAGACTCCCCTCCCCGCCTCCCCCTCAGTGCACAACCCCGCTTGTACATTTTCATCATGCGATCTTTGTTTTAGGTTTTATGTTGCTATGGTGAGACTGATGTTTTGGGCAGGGCCAAGACTGTATTTCTTTTTGTGATGAAGTATAGAGAGAGGGGAGTTTCATTTTCCGATTTCAATTTTAGAGAGGTACAGTAGGGCCGGCATTACATTAAATCCAGGAGTTGTATACAGGTTGTACACAGGTATTTGTACCTGATTTGCTTGGATTGCACCATCCCCTCTTATTCTCAGCAAAGGTTTTGAATCTTACTTCTCGAGGATATGCCAGGATATGCATGGTTTTCTTACTAAAGCTATGCTCCATTACTTTGGTCATGGTCACTCACACAAGACTATCTCCTGTATCAACTGGAGATATCTGGGGGTTACTGGAAACATTTTTCTTGGTTCCGGTATTAGTGCTAGTTGGCTAGTTGGCACTAGCACTAATCCCTGTTTAAACAGCTCTAATCCCTGTTTAAATGCAACCCTGGAACAAGACATTCATTTCTGCACTGGTCAGAGTTATTGTTTTGGTTCATCAGTAAGACAGACAGTGTCTTCAGCCTGTCTGAGTCAGCAGTTCTCCACCTGCTTTCAAGAATCTGTTCTAACTTAAGCATACCAGGACAATTTTAGCTCCTTTTTATCCATTATTCTCAGGGTGGTAAAAGAACACCCTACCTCCTTAACATCTTACAACAGCCATACCCAGGAAAACCTTTTTGTTACCTGGGAGTGAAACTCCTTTACACTCCCCTGGCAGACCTTATCATCCTGCAATTCCAGGCTCCAAAAGGCAGCACACAATCGTCAGGACTTTTGCCAAAAGTGTTTTCTTTACTTGCCTATTTTAAGTGATATACACATGACTTGTCTTTGGGAAGGGCAAGCATACCCTGACCCATTATGAAGCTTTCTACATAGCTTCCAGAAGGTGTGTTTGCATTTTGGAGAAAGTACTTCTATACTTAACAGTTACAGACAACTTTTGATACTTAACAGAATGTTTTCTAGAACCTTGTAAGTGATCTCACCAAATCTGATTAAGGATGTCCCCAGTTTACTTACCTGGCCTTTTGTTTCATCTGTTCAGACACAGCCATAATAAAAAATGTGCTACAAGTTTTTAATTTAAAAAGTAAACTATAGTAGCCCTTTATTTGTATTGCATAAGTGAGTGGAAGCAGAGATGGAGTTCAATTTTCCTGAAGGCATAAAATTAAAAATTGTTTTTACCATTACCTTTGCAGTTTACTGGGACAAGATAGAAAAAGGGAGTTAAAACAAAGACACAGTAAGATAAAATGACATCTCCAGAGTTTTATGCAACAGTTATTGCTTATATAGCAGAATACATTTCTGGTGATTCATATTCTTTCAAGGACCGTTATGTCCTTGTTTATCAACATCCCTTTTTTCATGATGCTTTCAGCAGGTGGTCTTTTAAAAGCACAAAAATATTCTGTTTGAATCACAGGATGCAAGTCAGTGAGAGACATGGAAAATTCTCTGCTTCTGTGTTTCTTCCTTCCAAGTTGTGTTTCTAAAGTACTCCCCTCAATTTAATACAAAGAACTTTCTGTTTAAGACAAAACAAATGTTTAAAACCCGTAGTAACACGATTTCCATTTCCTTCCAACTAATCCACTAACACCAGCA